ATCAAGTCTTGCTGTCTTGCGCGCTATCTCTCTCTCTCTCTCTCGCGTGCTCACTCGCTCTCTCTCCTTCCTTATGTATCTCTCTTCTTCGCGGCGGAGCCGGTACGCCAACGCGCAGGCACAGTTTTCATGACTGCTGCGCATGTGTTGCTTTACCGAGACTTCGCACTCAGCCGATCTGTTTCACGCATTGATGCCATGTTTGGTCTGCTGTCCTTTGAGCACGTTTGCTCGACATGCTTGAGTTTGGCATGCGGCATAATAGCATTTATCACAGCCCTCACCCTCGGGGAGCTGCTGCACCTTTGCAGTCCCTGCGCACCGCTGGCCGGGTGCGAGGGCCGGTCGTTAAACAAAAGCCCACATCGCACGGCGGAAGCTGATGCCGTACCCCCGCGGTTCCCTTGGGGCCAACGTGTCCAGGTGCAGGGCACATGACAGCAGGACGATGGGCTAACGTGCCTGCTGGGGGAACTCGTGGTAGACTCAGACCGATGCAGGGGAGGCCTTGCAAACTGTGCTTGCTCCATTGGTTTGTGGGCCGAGAGTGGATGGGACAAGTCGTAGCAGTCGTAGCATCAGTGTAGCATCTAACTGGAACCCAGAACGCTCGGAGAAAATTGCCAGCCAGTTGTGGACTGGAAGGCTTTCCCTTGGAAGCATGGTGTGTTTGGGACACAGCTGCGTACTGGTCGTATAAGGCTCCACGTTCATATTGCGCCAACTTCGGACCTTACACGCCTGAACCTGGCCGGGGGTTTACCCTTAGGCTCCATAGTAGTTCTTTTTGGGGGTTCATATATAGAATCCTATAATCAAAGGGGAAAAGGAGGGACCCTTAATGGGGACCCCTACCCCATAACGGGGCCATATAATGGGTATATAATAGCTATATTAAGGGTATATTACCTAGGGGTCCTTATTAAGGGTCCCTCCTTTTACCCTTGGATATAAGGTAATCCCAAAAAGGAGCTACTCTGGAGCCTCTGAGTATAGAGTTCATGTTACGAGGTTTTGTCTTTATGACCGGTCGGCCGGGTGCACGTGGAGCAAAGTCACCAGCCAGCGTACTTTCAGCGGCCTAGCGGTCGCGATTTAGGGTTTAGGGTTAAGGGATCAGGGTTTAGAGTCTAGGGTTCAGGGTTTGGGGTTTAGGGTTCAGGGTTTAGGAGTTTAGGGTTTAGGGTGTTCGGACTAGTCGGATTGGAGCAATTAGGAAATTATGCAAATGTTCGCTTCTCGACCATCAGCTCCCAAGTTTAGCATCAGCTCCCAAGTTTAGCATCAGCTCCCAAGTTTAGCACTGTTGTGCTCTGACACACCTGGCATGGGGTAGCCCTACCCACGGGGAGCTGCTGCACCGTCGCAGTCCCCGCACACCGCTGGCCGGGTGTGGGGCCCGGTCAAGATCTCCGCCATGCTATGGCTAGCTCAATGCTAACTGCTAGTGCCGGTCACAAGCCTGGGCCGACGGCTACACAATCAGAATTCCCTTGAGGCCAACGTGTCCAGGTGCAGGGCATATGACAGCAGGACGATGAGCTAATGTGCGTGCTGGGGGAATGTTCTGATGGCTAGTGGCGGTAGCATCAGACCGATGCAGGGGAGGCCTTACTGGCATAGGATGGTCTTCTGCTTGCTAGCAGCTCGCATGTGAAGCCTCGCATATCCTGGCATTGCAAGCGTTTCCCCTCTCGCTTTTTATGTCACAGCAAGATGCGGAAAACAACTCTGATACACTTCATCCCGGAGCATCCACATGAATACAATCTGCAGGGGATATTTAGTATGCCCGGCATGGTTGTTTCGGGACATGGCTCCACAATTGTAGGTGACCAGCCCCTTATCCAATGGGTCTAAGTTTGCGTTGCTCCGAGTTGGTACTTAGATGTTGCTCAGAGTCAATCTTGACAGCTGTTCAATCCTTATGATTCACAGCGTTAACGAACCTGAATCTCCGGCAACAACAGATTGGCAAATATGTTCACAAGTAATGTCATGAGCACACGACCAAGATTGGTGTGTCTCGAATCATCCCCACGCTCAAGATCTTGCTTTCTGTAGCGAGGTCAAGCTTTGACTATGCCAAAGACCTGCCAAGACGCCTACGTTTCAGCTTGAAACTAATAACCAGCAGCTCCCAAGTTTAGCAGCCTGAACCATTGGCCCCAATTCTTCGACGTCTCTGGCCTGTATTTCGTAGTAGCATTATAAGACCTGCAGAAAGGATGAATTTTCCCCATGTTGCGAAACTGCGGAGAGTCTAGTTTCGCAGGCTCTAATTGTATAGGGGCACTGGTTCTCTAGACTCATCGCCTCTATAGCCTCGAACATGCTCGCCCCCAGCCACCTCCAACTTCACAACTGGATACGCGGAGAAGGCTTCGTGCACAGGGTTTAAGTTTAAGGAACAAGCCAGTGTTGGTGTTTGGGCTTAAGACGCGAGGCAATGAGCTACTGCGTAGTCCTCTAATCAGGGTCCCTTTTCAGGTCCACAGTATATGTATGCACCCTTATAACAGGACCCTAAAGGGGACCCTATTTTAGAGAACTTCCTGCATGCGTGCTTCAGAAGCATTCTTTTCCACACACACGCTTTTGTCAAGAAGTAGCGGCAGTGACGCAGGCCCTGCTGAACATGTCATAGGCATAGTACCTTGGCACATATTTAATGGTGTACATACATACATACATAGATATACATATACATATACATATATAGTTTTCTTCCACAGGCTTTGATATACATATAGATATTTACAGACAAACACACGCACGCATATGCAAGATGCACAGAGATCCAGCAACTTGTTTGTTTATGTCGCGGACTTACAACAGTCGAAGGATGGTTTTGCCACCTTCGCATCTGCAGATTGTGCGACAAGTTCGTCGGCCTTGTCAAGATTAATGCATGACGCGCACGCGCACACACACACACTCTCTCTCTCTCTCTCTGTCGCTCTCTCTCTCTCTATTTCTCTCTTTTTCTGTTTCTCTTTGTGTCCCACGCTGTGGCTCTCCCTGGCTTGTTGTCCCCACATTCCCGCTCCCTCCCTGAGGGCAGTACGCATGTAGCATTTTCTGGAGGCGCTTGCGCGCTGCCTTCTTGCAGATGTTTTGTGGACTTGAGGACAACATTCTCACAGATCGATTGTCTCTAAGGTGGACTGTGGTTTGAAGCACGATTGTGCTCTGACACACCTGGCATGGGGTAGCCCTACCCATGGGGAGCTGCTGCACCGTCGCAGTCCCCGCACACCGCTGGCCGGGTGTGGGGCCCGGTCAAGATCTCCGCCATGCTATGGCTAGCTCAATGCTAACTGCTAGTGCCGGTCACAAGCCTGGGCCGACGGCTACACAATCAGAATTCCCTTGAGGCCAACGTGTCCAGGTGCAGGGCATATGACAGCAGGACGATGAGCTAATGTGCGTGCTGGGGGAATGTTCTGATGGCTAGTGGCGGTAGCATCAGACCGATGCAGGGGAGGCCTTACTGGCATAGGATGGTTTTCTGCTTGCTAGCAGCTCGCATGTGAAGCCTTGCATATCCTGGCATTCCAAGCGTTTGGCCACTCGCATTTTGATTTTTATGTGACAGCAAGATGCAGCAAGCTACGGTGATCAACTTCAACCCGCAGGGCCCACATGAATATCGTTTGCAGGGCACATTTAGTATGCCTGACTGGTATGGTATGGGTGTTTCAGGACATGGGTCTGCAATTGTAGGTGCCCGGACCATATCCAACGGGTCCAAGTTTGTGTTGCTCCAAGTTGGTACCTAGTTTTTGCTCCACGTCACGATTTATTTTGACAAACAACGCCATGAGCTCGGGGCCAAGATCGGTTTTGAATCATCGCAACCCTCAAGATCTTGAGTTCTGTAGCAGAGGTTTTACTATGCCAAACATGCCAAACCGCCAACGTTGCAAAGTTCCACCTTGAATCCAACGCGAGCCCAAACCAGGAGTGTCGGGCGTTTCGCAGGTCTTGCCAGGAGCTGCTTGTTGGATGTCTTGAGCCCTTGCCCCCAAGAGTCCAAGTACCTATAATAATCATATACTCTCCAAAATACTGACCGACATAGCTACTACCCTAAACCCAAGTACCTTATCATTAGAGGGTTTTTATAAAGGCCCTCTATGAAACCCAAGTACCTTATTATTGGGTCCTTTGGACCCTTGGGGGTGTAGGCTGCTACACGTAGGGTGAAGTGCGGAAGTATCAAGGCCCGACTTCCCTGCTCCAGAAACCCGCTTCGGCTAGTTTTCAGAGGGAGAAACTCATGTCTCAATTTTGCTTGGAGTTAGATTTATGCATTCTGGAGGCTGAAGGCAGGTGGACCCTAATTCGGCGGATAGAAAGCCGACGAGCCTTCGAGGAGCAGCTGGCTCGCCGGTCTACCCCATCGGAGCAGGCCTAGGATGGGCCTCGAGGGTTTTGAGTTTGGAGTTCCGAGCTTTGGGTTTGGGGTTTAGGGTTTAGGGTTTAGGGTTTTGGTTTAGGGTTTAGGGTTTAGGGTTTTGGTTTAGGGTTTAGGGTTTAGGGTTTGGGGTTTCGGATGTATGCAATCGGTCATGCGGACTGTCACGAAGCGAGACACTTGGCAGGGTGTTGGGTGTCAGGACCGTCCGTGGAGGGTTGTGGGGATTCCTGCACCGGTCTGTTGTGCTGTGCGAGTCGATCGCTAAGGGATTAAACGAAGGGCAATCAAACCTGAATGCTAGCATGGTGTGAAAGTAGAGGCTGTTGAGCAGTAACTGGTCAAGTGCGGCTGTCAGCTTTTCGACCTGACCGCGCGGATGGCTCAAGCCATGCGAGTGCAAAACAGTTTGCGTTGCACAACACGACACTGCTGTCAGTTTTCAGATTGGCAGCGGAGCCTCAGAGCTCCTAGGGATTACCTTTGGGTTGAGCCCGCCAATTCTCCGGTGCCTCGTGCTAGGTACCTTTCCATATTCGGCTAGACTGTTAGGTCACAGCCTTTGCAGCCTCTAGCATCCATGGCACTGCTGGAGGGCCTATCATGGCAAAAGTTCATGGAGATATCCGAGAACGAATGTACCGAGGGCAAGTATGGCATCCCTCGCTTCGACGGCTCTGTGCACCTGCTCCAAGAATACAGCTACCGTGTGAAGATGAAGGAGCTTCGCGAGAAAGAGCTTGAGCCGTCGGAGCTCAAGAAGTTGGGCCCTCTTGGGCTTCGCCTCGTGGAAGGGCTGCGCGGCCCAGCTTTGCACATAGTGAAGCGCATCGACCAGACGGTGCTGGCTTCGGACAAAGGGGCCGCGAAGATCCTCTCGGAACTGGCCGAGACCCTGCGACCGCGGCGGACCCAGGAGGCGAGAGAGCTCTACTTGGCTGGAGCTAAAGAAGGCGGTCCCCTCAGCCGTCAATTTGGAGAACCTATGAGCATCTATGTTCTCCGGCGGCGCTCGTGGTGGAGCATGCTGCAGGACCTGGACAGCGAGATAAAGTTGCCCGACCTTATCTTGGCCGAGCAGACGTTGCAGAACGCCAGGATCTCGGAGGACCATGCCTTGATGATCCGTACCTCCCTGGCCCAGGTCATCACCATGAATGGCGTGTGCAGCGAGCTGGTCAACCAGCATGGTTCCATCCACTTGAAGGAAAAGCGAGACCGAGCTCCCCAACCTTGGCGGCCGAGGTTTTCCCCTGGCCACGGCAAAGGACATACGAAGAACAAGGGCAAGGGCCACGGTTACTTTGCCTGGGAAGAGGCCGGTGAGGACCAGACGGAGCAGGCCTTCTACGGTGACGGCTTCTCCTGGGAGACGGCCAGCCAAAGCCTAGGGGGATACGAAGATGAGCTCGCCGGGGCGTACCAGGCTGAGGGCCACGAGGTGGACTATGCCGAGCACGAGGACCCGATTCTGCAGGTGTTCGCCGCCATGGTCAGCGAGGGCTTCGACGAGACGACCGACCTGGAGGGTGGCGAGTACGCGGCCGATGTCATTCAGGCCGAATCGGAGGCGTATGTGGCCCGGCAGATGGCTAGCAACCAAGGTCATGCTGGCTTTGCGGGCAAGCGCTTTGAGTTTCGAGGAGAGATGTCCTTGGAAGAAAGGAAGGCGCGGGTGCAGGCGCTGAAGCAGCGCACCACGTGCCGCAAGTGCGGCCAGAAGGGCCACTGGTCGACAGACCCCCAGTGCCCAAAGGGGTCGGCGAAAGGAGGTGGCAAGAGAGGGCATTCTTCGGCGGCGTCGTCTTCCAGCCAGACCACAGTTGCTTCTCCGGCCGGAAAAGGGAAGACGAAGAAGGGCCCACCAAAGCCGAGGACTGTTTACTTTGCTGTCAAGGACGAGGACCACGGCGAGAACCAGGCCTACATGGCCTACCGGCGCGTGCCTCCGCCGACTTCCCTCGACGAGCGGCCGGCTTCCGCTCCGACTGCCCCGAACTCTCTGAGCGGAGTGGCCCCACCTTCAGCCATGACGTCGGGGCCTATGCCGGGAACTTTGTCTTCTTTACTGCGGGGCTCCGGGGCGGCAGCTTCTTCCTCATCTACCTTGCCGGCGGCGACCTCCACAGACACGACCTCAGAGGCCACCTCCCGACAGAGGGCCGCCGAAGAGCCGGGACCCAACTGGCAGGTTGTTCCCGGCCAAGACTGGGATCATGCGATGCTCTTCCAGGCTTTGCAAGCCAACAGCGACGTGGTCATCGATCAGATGATCAGTGCGGCCCGGGCCATGGACACCACCGAGCCGCTGCCGATCGAGCCGGGACAGGCAGCGCTTCCAGATGTTGGGGAACTTCGGCCGCCAGCCTTGCAGGAGATGCCAGGGCTACTTGTACCCGGGGACGAGCAGGAGAGCCTCAGTGACTTCTCCCTGTTTGGAGGCGAACCGGAGGCCACCGCGGCTGAACAACGACCTCCCTTGAACGCTTTGGGCGGCAGGCCTCCGGAACAACCGCCACCCGAGACGGCGGAATGCGCCCACGTGCGTACCACTACCAAAGGGACCAATGCTCACAGCTATCGCCGCACCTGCCTCGACTGTGGCAAGATTCTCGAAGTGCGCAAGAAGGAGAAGGAGGAGCCCCCGCCGGCTGCTGGAGCTCTTCGTGATCCCGACGGCTGTCCTCATACCAATGTCAGCCGGCAGGGCACCAACAGCCATGTGTGGAAGTGGCGCTGCAGGCAGTGTGGCCTCAGCAAGGAGGGCCGCCAGAGCCAACATTCGGCTCGAGCTATGGGTCTGGGCGCCCTGGGGACGGCGACTCTGGACGGTGGTGTGGACACCGCGGCTGTCAAGGTCTTGGAGATGGCTGGTACCGTGGTGATGGTTCAGGAGAGCGGCGGCTTGGCTGTTCCTCTTAGCCGGCTGCCGGAAATCGTCCAGAAGTGCACCGAGATCTACCTTAGAAGGGCGGCCGGGCAAAACATGGCACCTGGAAGTTCCCAGCCGGCGGCGCCACCACCACCACAGCCACGGCCACAGCCCCTACGTGAAGCACCACGACGGACGGAGGCCGCGCCTCCGAAAGCGGCTGGAGCCAGCGAACCCACGGGCATCACAGATGATGCGTTGCTCCACTCCGGGAAGTACAAGGGCAGCACCTATCGTGACGTTTTCTACCGCTACCCCGACTATGTGGACTGGGTGCTCTCCCAGGGGGGCAACCTACAGGCCAAGTCCTTGGTGGATTTCCACCGGTATGCCCTGGCCAAGAAGAGGGAAGAGCACGAGGCCAGGAACGCCCAGGCGCCAACATGGCGATCAAGGACCCCAACAACGAGGACCACTTGCTGGCTGTGCTTGACACTGGCTGCAACCAGACATGTCACGGCAGCGACTGGCTGCGCTCTTATTGCCGAGCCTCCGGGGTGGAACCAACTCCCTTGGAGGAAACGGAAGCTACGGGGCTCAACGGCATAGGGGGCAAAGTTCGTTCCGTGGGAAAGCGCACCTTTACGATCACTCTGCAGCTTCAGGACGGCACCCTCGCCGAAGGGACGGTGGAATCAATCGAGCTGGCTGGCTCCACGGCACCTTTGCTCTTGAGTTGCCGGGCCCAGAAGCAAATGGGTTTGGTGTTGGACCTGGAAGAAGGCACCGCCTTTAGCAAGAAGTTTGGCCGGCACCTGGAGGTGGTGGACAGAGATGGCCTACCTGCGGTCCGGCTTCTACCTCTCCAAGATCCTGCTGAACCGGCCGGCCAGGAGCACTTTGCTATGTCGGCGATCGAAGAGGAAGAGGACGGCCCCAGGCCGGCCGACGAGAAGGACTTTTGGCAGTACCAAGACGGCGGGTGGATCCGAACCCACATCAACAGCCGGAGCTTCCTCTTTGACCCTCGCCGTGAGCCGACGGAGGACCCCGAGATTGACGCGGAGGTCTGCGGGTTACCCTTTCGACGGACCGTTGCTATCGGTCCCCACGGCGGCTTGCAGAATGAGTTCCGGGACCACTGGCTGAACCTGGAAACAGAGAATGTCGAGGAGTACCAAGATGGACCCTGGACTGGCTACACCTACTTTACAAAAGGGCCACCGGAGCAGACCACCGAGGAGCCGGGCAAGGAGGTCAGTCTCTATGCCGCTTTCGATGAAGAGGCGGCCGCCAGGAGGGTCCTGACAAAGGGGCAGAAGCGGCACCTTGCTGAGAGTGCGGACGCTGCTCTCAAGAAGGATGCGGCGATGTGGTCCCAGCTGGTGGAAGAGCCTTCTTACCACAATGTCAAGCGCCTGCTTCCAAAGGGGTGCCGCAGCTTTCTCCTGGAGTTCTTTGCGGGCGCCGCGGCGGTCACCCTCATGGCCAGCAGCTTGGGACTGCCTACCTCTGTGCCCGTCGATTTTCACACTCCTCAGGGCGACCTCACCAAGCCGGAAGTTCGGCAGCAGCTCTGGGACTATGTGGAGACGGAGGATCCCTACCTTATGGTGATCGCTCCGACCGGCCTACCTTGGAGCCGGAGCCCGGCACGAAGAAACCGCGAGCTGCAGGAGGAGAGGAAGCACTGGTACCCCGTGGCGCAATGGCTGTCAGAGCTGATACGGCACAGAGTGCGAAAGGGGCGGCAAGTTGCTCTTGGGAGTTCCTGGGGAAGCTGGCTGTGGGAGCTGCGCTGTTTTCGAGAAGCCTATGGCGAAGAGGACCCGATCACCAACCAGAACCTCGAGGTGATCTCCTTTGACCGCGGTGCCATGGGTTCTCGGGACTGTCGTTCTGGACGGGTTTGCCGGCTGCTCTCCGGCATGATGACCACTTCCCTTCGGCTGAAGACGCAGCTCTGCCAGGTAGCCTCCCCGGGACCGGCCACTCAGGCTGGCAAGGTGGTCGTGCCGATGTGCTGGCCACCAAGGTTGTGTGATACGGTGATCAAGGCTGCCTACGTTGAGCTTCAGGACTTGCATTGTGCGGTGGCGTTTGCGGCGGAGGATGGCCTCGAGGAGGCCGAGGAGTTCGGCTTGCTGGACGCGGTTGGTCCTGGGGAAGAACCACCTCCACTACCTGAGCAAGCTCCACCTGAAGAACTTCAACGGCAAGAGCACCTTGAGGAGACCACCCCGACCAGCGAGCAACCTGTCAGTGAGAAGGAGAGACGTGCAAAGTGGTTGGGCATCTCCCGCAACCAGCGGCTGGCGATTCGAAGGCTGCACCATATGACCGGCCACGCCAGCAACGAGGCTATGATGAGGATGCTGCGGTCGGCTGGGTCCAGTCCCAACACAGTGGCGGCTTGTCGGCACTTTCGTTGTCAAGTTTGCCTGGACAAGCAGGAGCCGACTCGGCCCAGATCGGTGGCCGAACCGCCGGTCTACAAGTTCAATCACCAGATCGAGTGCGACGCCTTTGAGATCAGAGATGCGGCGGGCCAGAAGCACACGATACTCAGTGTGGTTGACTCCGGCACCCGCTTTCATGTGGCTGGCTGGGTGGCTCCCGGGGGCACACCTACCTCGAGAGCCTGCGCGGAGTTTCTCAACACTGCTTGGTTTTCCTGGGCCGGGGCTCCGAGGATTTTCTCCTCCGACCAAGGGGTGCACAACCGAGGCCACGTGGCGGCCCTTCTCCGGGCCAACGGCGTCGAGATCAAGATGGCGGGCGTGAAGGCACCGTGGCAGATAGGAAGGGCGGAGCGGCACGGAGGCATCCTGAAGGCCATGATGAAAAGAGTCATCGCGATGGGCCACCTCACCGGGGAGTTTGCCATTAAGGCCGTGGCCTCTCAGTGTGCTGCGACAAAGAACTCTTCCTTTGTGCATGCCGGCTTTGCCCCCTCACAGTGGGTACTGGGCCGCATCCCCTACGACGGCACGTCTTTGGTTCAGGAGTCGGCCCAGGAGCAGCTTGGCACACACCAGGCGATAGTGGACCAAGAGGACCAGTTCGGCAAGAACTTGTTGATTCGCCAGTGGGCGAAAGAAGCCTATGTCTACGTGGATGCGAGTCAACGGGTCCGGCGGGCAATGTTGCGGCAGTCACACCCGGTGCGTGGACCCTACCATGCCGGGGATCTCGTCAGCTACCACCGACGTGGCAAGTGGCATGGACCGGCTAGGGTGTTGGGGCCGGAAGGACGCAGCTCGCTGTGGATTGTCCATGGTGGGATGACGGTCTTGGTGGCGGATACGTGCTGCCGGCCGGCCTCTGTGGAAGAGATACAGCGCCGAGAAGCTCTTGAGAAACGGTTACGTGGGATCGAGCCGGTGGGCGCCACAAGCGGAAGTACGAAGAGTTTCTGGAAGATGTGGAGGAGGACTTGCCTTTCTCCCGGGACATTCCTGTCTATGCCGAGGGAGAGGAGACTGCCGCGAACCAGGTTCCCTTCTTTGACTTCGTGACGGCATCGTCTCCGGCGGTCCCGGCACCACCTTCTCCTGGTGAGACTCAGGAACCTGTACAAGAGGCCGCGGACTTTCCAACCACAGCTCCCGAAAGACAGACCACGCAGCCCGAGCAGGAGCCTTTGGAGGAGCAGCCCGGCCCAACGACTTCGGGGGAAAACCCAACGACATCTACTTCCCTGGGGTCTCCTGGACCTATGTTGGAGGACCAGCCTCCGCCTACGACGACTTCGGCGGAAAACCCGACGACATCTACTTCCACTGGGGTCCCTCTTTCAAACTTGCAAGAAGCTATGCATAGGTCCGTGGATGCATTGGATGGTGTCCCTTTGTCCAGCCGTTCTGCGAGATCAAGGTCACCACCGTCACGGCCGCAGGCCAATCTTTTCAGTGCGCCACCTGGCTTGGTTCAGTCTGAAGTACCAGCTGCTACTGACGGTCCACGTGAAAGGCAAGCTCGTCAGGACAAGGAGAAAGCCAAGAAGGCAGTGGCTTTCCTTGTGGGGCGCACGCAGAAGGCCTACAAGAAGAAGACTGTGAAGAAAGGGGCCGGCCGAGAGCTTGTGTACAATCGAGAGAGCGCAGGTGTCCAGTCGGCCTTGGATGCGTCGAGACGCAAAGAGTGGGACAACTGGAAGGGGTACACCAACATGAAGAAGATCACCCGCGCCGAGTTCGACGAGATGAAGAAAAGTGACCCTGGGCTGCGCATCATACCCACCCGTTGGGTGGACACCGATAAATCCGAAGACGGGCAGCCCATGAAAGCCAAAAGCCGGTTCGTTGTGAGAGGTGACATGGAGGACGCCAGGGGGATGAGGACGGATTCTCCGACGGCGTCCCAGACGGCTATGAGCTTGCTTTTGTCGTTTTCGTAAGCCTTTGAGGAGCGGGGACATTTCGGCGGCGTTCCTTCAGGGATCCGTTCTGGACAGGTCCCTGGTGCTTAGCATGCCAAAAGGAGCTCCACCTTACGACATGGAGGAAGGCGACTTGGTGATGGTCTCCACCACCGTGTACGGCACCAAGGACGCCCCGCGAGGATGGTTCAAGAAACTGGACGGAAGCCTTCGGAACAAGACCTTGAGACGAGTCCCGATGGAGCCGGGGTTCTATGTTCTCAACGGGAACCGGAAGGACGGCACTGTGTACATCCGGGGTGCCCTCATCATACACGTGGATGACATCCTGTGGTGTGGTGATGAGGAAATGGACCGCATCATGACCGAGATCCAGAATGAGTACAAATTTGGCTCCCTGGACTCCGGCACCTTCAAGTACTGTGGCCGGATCTTGTCACAGACCGAGAAGGGGATTTCGGTGACCTGCCCGGATTTGATCACCCGAGTGAAGCCGATTCCGCTAGACCAGCGGAGAAAGGGGCAGCGCGATGCCAGCGCTACCGAGGCCGAGCGAGCCCAACTTCGTTCGGTGACAGGCTCCTTGAACTGGCTTGTCAGGGTGTGCCGCCCAGACATGGCGTATGGAGTGGCTAAGCTGCAGACGGCGGTGAACCACCCTAAGGTGCAGGACCTCCTGGAGGCGAACGCCCTTGTAAAGTTCGCCCAGCGCACGAAGGACGTCGGTCTCTACTACCGGGCTGGTGCTCTACGCCTGGAGGAGGCCATGCTGGTTGCCATTCAAGATGCGTCGTACGCCGCGGACTTTGATGTTTCGGCGTCTGGGAAGAAGCTTGGATACCGCTCACAGAGCGGACGCATTCTCTGTTTGGCACCGCGGTCCTTTGCTACTACCTTGGAGGGCCATCTGTATCCAGTGGAATGGCACTCTACCGTGATACGCCGAGTGTGCAAATCCACGCTTCAAGCCGAAAGTCTCAGCTTGCAGCTGGGCAGCGTGGAGGCAGAGCATGCAAGAAGTGTTCTGCATGGGCTCTATGAGGAGCCTCCGAAGCTTGATGCGACGGCCTGGGTCATTGGTGCTCAAGACCGCTGCCCGGTGATGTGGGTGACGGACTGCATGAGCCTTTTGACGCATTTGCTTAACCCTGCTGCGGGCACTGTCGGGGATAAGCGCCTGGCTATCGACCTCTGTTCGCTTCGGCAAGAGCTTTGGAGGCGACCCGGAGAGTATGTTGGAGATCCGCTGGGCCACGATAGACCACCGTTAGACCCCTCGACCTGTATAGTTTGGACGTCAACTGATAAGATGTTGGCGGATGGGCTAACGAAGAAGATCGTCGCTCACGAGCCAATGGCGAAGCTCATGAAAGGAGAGCGGATCAATCTGGCACCGACACTTGACCAGAAAAATAGTACCGGTGTGAAAGTAGAGGCTGTTGAGCAGTAACTGGTCAAGTGCGGCTGTCAGCTTTTCGACCTGACCGCGCGGATGGCTCAAGCCATGCGAGTGCAAAACAGTTTGCGTTGCACAACACGACACTGCTGTCAGTTTTCAGACATGGGCCGTGGTGGGTTTCCAAGCTTTGGAAGTTTGGAAGCATCGACGGTTCTGCGGCACTGACAACGAGTTTGAGGTGCCTTGAGGTTCACAACTCTCTCAGGGTTGCTGCGGGCCAGGTCAGCAGGTCTAGGTTGTAACCTTTGGGCTCTGTGTCTGATGGGCATTCAGAATCCGCATGATGTGGCAGCATGCGTCTACCATGATGCATTTGGGAAGACTTGAAAGATGTCGAAACTTACGGTTGTTTCAGGTACTTGGGCACTTGCCTCAGTCCGTCTTCGTTCTTAAGGTATTGCAAGCATGTTCTAACCCGATTCCGCGACCCCTTGCCTCCTGTGGTGTGGTTTTCGCACGAAATATCACGTCGAACAACCCCAAAGTGACAATACTAGATTGTGTATTGTTGTCTTTAAAAACCGAACAAAGCTTGTCCCACTTCGCAGCACCTTTTTCCGGCCTCAGGCACACCAATCGTTGCCGGCTCGCCCAACCGCTTTGGAATGAGCAGTGCTTGCCCGAGAAACTTCGGCACAAGGGTTTTCAAGCCCGCTTCACCGAAATTCTCCGTGGAATTCACGGGACCGTGAGCTGTTGTTGAGGCTGAAGCATATTCTCTCAATTAGATAATAAATCCGCGTATAGATGGTAGAAGTTCTGCAACAGTGTAACATGATAGTTTTTAGAAGTTTATAAACCCTAAACCCTAAACCCTAAACTTGATATCCGTTGGGCCGGAGTGGCCTTGGGATCTCGAGGCTCGGGGGGCTCCTTTGCGGCATGTTGACTTCGGCTGTCGGGCGAATTTCGGAAAGTTGGAACATGGGTTTAGGAGGATTAGTGCTAGGGTTTAGGGTTTAGGGTTTAGGGTTTAGGAGGATTAGTGGTAGGACTGCTAGGATCCCTTGTGCTTGTCCTTGGGGGCATCGGGAAAATGCTGCTCCAACTTTCTGGCTTCTATTGCAAGTTCCTTAGTAGCACCCTTTTATTTGGTTTTTAAGGACCCCCTGTTTATTCAAACCGAATAGCAGGCAAAAGTGGTACCCTTACTATGAAGGCGCGACTCCTCTACTCCTGAACCTGGAAGCTGAAAACCCAAGTTCGACTCCCTGAGCTCGAGCTTCACCTCAAACAAAAATCGCACTTCCCATGCCCCTCCTGGAGCAAAGGTGCTGCAGCACCCCAGGCCCTGCTCTGAGTTTTTGATATGTGCTGGTAATGCAGGGGCCTTACATAATGAGTAATTAGAATGGGGTGTGGGGAGATACTAGATTGTATTCAGAATAAGGAACCCCACAGGCGCCTACGTTATTTGTGCCCACTTTCTTTCATCGGTGATGACAGGAATGATTGTTCAGTCCTTCGTAGTCGCTAGGGTTCTGGCGAGTAGTCTTTGCTTCGCCAGCATACCTTTCTCTTACCTTTGGTTAGTAGGGAATGGAGGAATGGGGTACAACTCTAACTACTATTGCTACCATTCTTCCATCTCCTACTAACCAAAGGTAAGTTCTCGGCGGTTCGGTGCTTTTACTTGGAGGTTCATGGGAGGTAATAAGTACAGTTGTAAGTACCCTAATTGGGATTAAGTACATAATAAGTGTAGTTACCTTAATTATAACCCTAGTTACTAAGTCCCATGAACCTCTAAGTAGGGCTTTAGGCAGGAAGCTCGGTTTTGGAGTCAGGCGAAATTCGAAGAGTAATATAGAAGCCTAAATCATTACCTATATGGTTCCCTAGGGTTCCGTAGTAAAAGTATCCACAAAGGAGCCCAAGACCCGGTTCTAGTAAATAACTATTCAGGCCCCTACAGTAAACAAACTCTGTTGCAGGCCCAGCGTGCGGAGACAGAGATCACGTTGAAGGACCTCGACGGAGTCTTGGCTGACCTCAGTGTCCCTTGGGCCTAGACTCCTGGACTCAGTTTCTTTGTTTGGCCGGCCACAGTACTCAATCGCAGCCGCAGGAGAAGAAGCAATAGCAGCAGACGCCGTCGTTTTTGTCGTTGTCATCGTCGTTGTAGTCCGCATCGTCGCAGTGGTAGTAGGCCTGGTAGTGGTGGTTTTGAAATAATTCGTGAAGGATGGTCCTCGCGGAGGGCATTGCTCAAGTTGCCCCTTTCTCTGGAGTTTCAGCGGGAGACGGCCCGATCTGAATCTAGAAACACTCACATTCTCGGTAGTTTTTCATGTTTATCATTACTTTTTTTGTAGGTCTATAGTTATAATTTTAGAAGTTTGTATCTTGGTTTCCTAAACCTCTCTGTTGTCTTAGGAACGGCTACGACGGGAACGTCAGCCTCGGCGAAGGCTGGAAAGTCGTCCAGGGCCGAGTCAATTTGCCGCCCTTTCTCTCCGTCTTCTTCCCTCTCCCTCTCCTCACCATCTCCGTCTCCCTCCCTCGCTCCCTCCCTCTCTTCCTCCCCATCTCACCCTCCCTCTCTCCCTCCCTCTATCCTCCCTCCCTCCCTGTATATTCCCTCCCTCCCTCCCTCCCTCTCTCCGTCTCGCTCCCTCCTGCCGTGCCGTTGAGACTTAATTAGACTTAATTGTTGCAGGATTCTTGACACACTCTGCGCAGGAGCTGCAAAGGCCGTATCTGCGTGTGTAGAGAGATCGCACCTTCCAGTTTATCGCTAGGTTTGCGGATGTTTTGGCACACAGGGAACAGTTGTCCACATCACAATCCTTGTGCATCGTTGTTTGCACCAGATCATCGTCCCAGCTCCAGCATTGTGGATAGTGCCTGCAGCTGAGGTCAAAGCGAAGCCAGAAAAAATCGAACAGGCGCGCACACCGTGTGAATCAGGGGTGGTTGAACCTACAAACCACCTAGCTTCGCTTTCAGTCAGGCCAACCTTTGGGCCAGAAGGCCAAGCAGTCGTTACGGTTTCTGCTGCAGTTGTTTGTTGTGCTTGTCGGGCTTCTCGCCTATGCAGCTTCTGCTTCGGAAGTAGATCAAGACCTTTGTTTATTGCTGGCCACCTGTTTGTCTATCTGTTCTGTCTGGCAATGCTGTGCATGTATACCTTCTGGTAGCCTGTGAGGTGTTCACCGTTGTTGAGCCTTCACCCTTACTGTTCTTCGTGAGATCGGACCAGAGAAAGGATGAAAGGCAAACATATGGGACTCTCTAGTCAACTCTAATCAACTCCCTGGGTTCATAACACTCAATCGTTTTAGCCCGAAATCCCGAAGCCCGAACAACCCGATACTGCATATCTCTACAGCTCCAACCCCTGAATCCCTGAAGCCCTAAACTCTAAAGACTAAAACCTTCAATCGCCTTTGTGGTAGCGACGCTATCTTGGTGGGGAAGTGTCAAGAGCTTTCGGCTTCTGAAGTGCTCTTGGTCGGTGTACATGGGTGGGTGCATTATTGGGCTGCTAGGGCATACATAGGGCATACAGGCATATAGCATCTGAAGTTACGAGATTACAGAGGGATCGCTGCTAAGGATCTGGACCCTGCGCGGTCGAAGCAAGAAGGACAGAGCATACTTGCTGCAATGGAGAAGCCTGAATAATTGCAAACTTTAGGCGTCCTCATTATACAACAGTACTATAATATACCCCAAAACCCTTATTTTAATCATTTTGCCTCAGGTGCCTTTGCTTCTGATGGCGTTCTCCTGAGGATTTCACTCATGATACAGGCAATCAAGGTAGGTATACGTCATGCGATCTTGGTGGGGCTACTTTGCAATCTTGGCAAATCCGGAGTGTATATTCGGGGTGGTATTCAGGAAGTTTTTTGTGATGACAATCCTGTGTGGGTTTCCGAAGATGCACCCGACGTGTTGTGCAGTTTCTACCCTCGAGACTTCTCGGGAGGATATCGAAGCCTATATCGAGGGAGTTGGTCAGAACGACGACCCCCGTTGGGGTAGGGTTTGTTTACAGGGTGCTGTTAGGGTAACATAGGATTACTATAGCATGTGACATGTGCGAAACTCCAGGAGTACTTAGCCTGGCCTAGTTTCCCGTAGAGTACAGTACTCCGTTATGGGGCACTTTCCTGCAGAGGTACCGATGTACCAGTTCAGAGTGCCATAATCCTAAACCCTAAACCCTGCAAACTTTGAAGCCTGAGCTCTATGTGAACTGCGGGTGCCGGGTTCGACCAGCAACCTGAACCGACTAATATCACAGGGACGCTTAGGGGGGTAGGGGGAGGGGGGGCCTTAATGCCCATAAGGCCCCTTCAAGAGAGCATGGTACCCTACCCCCCCCTAGAATTCCCGATGATAATATTGTCGCCTAAATATTTACCAATACTTTTTGGAGGGCCTCCTTAGCTCCCATATTTTTACTATAGTATAAGATCCCCCCTAAACCCTAGTCTAATGGTTAAGGCGCCTACATTACCCCTTTCACACTTTAACTCGTTTGAGCCAAGAAGCCCCAAGTTGGCGACAGCAACAGCAAGAGCGCGTGCTTCGGTTTTAGGGTTGGGGGTCTTGGATACTGGTCGTACTGCTGATGATCTAAATCTTGCACTACCTTAAGGACCCTAAACTATGGGAATTGAGGTATATTCCTTATTATGGGTAATGCAGGATTTATATTATCAACCGTAGTTGGTGGGTAGTGAAGCGCATCTTGGCTCATCATGCTGGTTGGCTCTCTTGCCGTCTACTTAAAGGATCATGGGACTAAGTAACTGGGGTTATAGATAAGGTAACTATACGTATAAGCACTTACAAGCCCACTTAAGGTACTTATAACGTGACTTACTAAGTCCCATGATCCTCCAAGTACCCTCCCCATTCCGTAGCGTTTCTAAACTCCAGCCCTGCAGTACTCCGCATCCTCTCGACTCGACCCTACGGCAAATACTCAGCCTGCAACCATGCCTTTAAGGCTTGTTTCCCACAGACCCGGAGCAGTGTTCAAGCTGAGTTCTCGACTCCCTCCGTGTAGTGACTCCGCAGATGCTTGGTTCACCCACCTTCAGTGATGCCAATGAATGCTTGCACAACTGCCGACCAAAGCCTCATGACTATCGCTGTTTTTTTTTCGATCAGGTTGTTGTATCGCCATTGGGTTTTCGATCATAGCCATGGTCATTGTCGTAGGGAGAGCATTCGTGCTACAGTGGTTCTTGCCCCAAGAAGCACAATTAGCACCTTAAGCGCTAAACCTAGTTCCCAAAGGCCCATCGTAAACCCATCCTATTTGGCTTCAGGGTTTCGGGCTGTGCCCATGGTGTATACGCTGATGGGGTTCTGATCTGAAGGGTTCTGTCAAAGCCCCGATTGACACACAAGAGACCCCTGTCAAGTGAGGTTGGGTCAGCTCGATTCTCTGAGGGCTTGAGAGCACGGTAGCCCTTTCTGTAGGGTTTAGGGTGTCATAAGGGTTTAGGGTTTTACAACCGGCTTGGGGTCGACTAAAGGTTTGTAAAGGGGTGAGAGGGCTTAGGGTTTATCTCTGTGCCCTTAACTGGTCTTCCAGGTGTTTTCAAAAAGGTCACTTCCTATACGGTTCACGGTCAGCTATTCAGCCACTGCTGGGGCAGGGCATTTGGGTTGAAACCTCGTGGGCTTAGCGGCTCATCGCTTGTCGGCCTCAGTTTCAGCTAGGTTACCTCCAGAACTAGACATGTTTAGGGTTTAGGGTACTGTAGAAGTTGAGATTCTTGTACAGTTGCTCGATTCAAGATGGGGGTGGGGAGGCTTTTGTCTGGCCTGTGAGCCTAAGCCGGCTGCAAGTGCAGGAGCTCCTATAAGCGTCAACATGTCAAAGCGATGATGGCGACGGTGCAGGTGCTTCTGTTGATGATATCAATCTTGCATTACCTTAAGGACCCCTAAACTATGGGAATTGTGGTATCTTCCTCATTATGGGTAATGCAGGGTTTATATCATCAACCGTTGCGATGGTGAGGATGTTCGGTGATGATGCTCTTCGTTGTCGAGTAAGTAACCGTTAAGTCTAAGTTTAACCTTTTGGGAGGCTAGCATGTAGAGCCGAAACATTAGCCTCTAGTTCGCCCGAAGAGCTTTTAGTGTTGGCGAGTTGCTCATAGCAAGAAGGCGACACAAAACGTGAGGTGTGACTAGTCAGGATAGAAAAACTTGGCATCACAGCCGCGAGTCCCCCAAGAAATAAACACCACGATTGATTTGCAGATCTCTGGAGAGCTTTTCTTCAACTAGCTAATCAGAGACAGTAGAGTGAGTCAGTGATAGTCTCTATTGCTTGCTCAGAAATTGCACCCCTGCAGCAAACCCTAAATCCTAAAACTCTTCACCAAAACGACAAACTTCAAACCGACCGTCCATCTCCTGTGCCGAAAGACCAAGCTTGATTCCTGATCCTGGCTGCAAGCAGGGTGCAGAGCCAGTAAATCTGAGCCGAAAGCCCACAACCCCAACCAAGAGTGGCCAAAAGTGTTTTGAGAAAGGCAGACGAACCCAACATGATAGATACATAGGTACTTGAAGCGAAATTCAGGCTCTCACTAAACCTAACATTATTAGCCTAGCCCTAAACCCTTACAGACCCTAAACCCTGCACGTCCCATCCCTAAGCCCTAAACCAAAGAAGCGCCCCCCAACTCCCAAGATCTGGGTCTGCCTCTTTGCCTCAGCCATGGCCCACGACTACGAAGGCACAGCCAAGGTTGCGGAAGCTGTGCCTTGTCGATTTTGGTCTTGAAGGATTTGGCATTTATAGGGTTAATAGGGCCATAGGTTTTATAAGGTTCAAGTCAATTCGAGGGTTTTCAGGCTTTTAAGGGCTTATAGGGTTTACAATTTGTAGGGCTTAAGGGGTTTATGGGGTTGAGGATATAGGGTTTAGGTATCTGTTCGCGGCGCAACACACGAGATGCAGGCACGGCGGCAGCACGGTTTCGGCCCCGGTTGAACTGTTTCTGGAGGCACACTTTAGAGTTTAGGTTTTCGGTGTTGTAGCCTTCAGGGCCTAGGTTTTGTAGGGTAGGCTTTCTAGGTGTTTAGGTCGTACTATAGCTAAGCCTCGCTGAATTGATGTTTGTATCATTACCAGCTAGGCTCCCCGAATATGCTTGTAGAAAAAAGCCCCCCAAATCGGGATATGCGTTTGGGATTTGAGTTTCTTCAAGTTGATCTGAACGGACAGGTGTGGCTTTCCGGCATCATACAGGCCCAAGGCATGCAATTTGTGTGGAGCCGCCATGTGCTAAGAGGTCCTGCGCATTCGGCTGAGATTACCTGGTCGAAGGGTTCCTCGAAAGCATGGAAGTAAGAAGCCGAACAACCCAAGCCCTACGCCTTTTGCAAGCCTAAACAACAATTAGTCCTTAAGGCCTAAGCCTAAGCTGCTGAATGTTCTTTCAGGGGCCCCATATGTCCCCATCCAAACCCCGACCCGAAACCCTAAACCCTGAATCCTGCGCTTCGTGTCTAAATCAACGGCGTAAGCCCTAAGCTACCTAACCAGTGGTTTTAGGGTTTAGGGTTTCGGGTTTAGGGTTTTAGGGTTTAGGTCCTAACCAGTGGTTTTGTTTTTTTTTTGGCTCTTTAGCTCCTTATTTAGTAGGAATTATCATGATGTCTCAACCCTACTACTACATCCTGAAGGCAGCAGCTTGTCCCAAGGCTGATGCATCCAAAATTGGAGAAGTACAGTCATTATCAGAGCCTGATAAACCTAAGTGCCCAAGCACGAGCCATGAAAACCTTAAACCCTAAACCCAAGACAGATCCCAAGGTGGCGAAGTACGGCGGCCATGTGCCCAACTACCGCGCACGAGGGGAGCATCACTATCGGGTGCCCTTCAAGGACTCCCTGTTTCTATTGTTGTTTTTGAGGGTTACCAGGGTTCTTGCAGGATGCTGATAAAGGCCAGTGTTAACGGGTTTCAAAATCTTGTTGTTTAATGGGGTGGGCTTATTGAATTTTGTAGATCAGGTTTCTGACTTGGACGGCTGTTCGACTGTTCGGGTTTTTCTTGTTGGTTTGGGTTTGTCGACAGGGAACCCGTACCACAACTGTAGCAGCCGTCGTCGAGGTCGCGGTCGTAGTGTCGTGCTTGTCCTCGTCGTCCGTTCGCCGACGCATCCACACCAAACCATCATGATCGTGACGTTCGTGGGACGTTTGGCAGGTCGAAACATGATGCCTGTGTGCTCTCGACATCCAAACCCAGGCCATGATGGCATCCGCGTGACTTGTGCATCCGTTCCCCAGAGCATCCATGGCGAACCCAGAGACTCCAATATTCCTTAATTAGGGAATATACCTTAAATCATATTAAGGATCCTACTATAACTTAAGGTATATCCCCTAATAAAGGGATATTGGAGTTTCTGGGAAACCATGGAAGCAACACGTATCAAATGTAGCCACAACACGGCAACTATGGATGCCTTACACGCAAATCGCATTCAGGCGAAAACACCGTAACACACAGTGGTTCAAAAGCAACCCTGCCCCCAAACAGAAGCACTTTGCTTTCAAGACAGCGCAATGCAAACAGTTGTACACACTCAAAGAAGCTGTAAAAACCGCTGATTTCGGCTATGACAAATGAACAAAACCGTATGTGTTGATGTACACACTTGCACCCCAAGCCCTAAACCCTCAACTCCAAATCCAAAACGCCTTAAACTCTAAACCCTCAACTCCAAACCC